ACTGCCAGCAGCGTCACCAGTTGCAGGAGGCTCAGCAGGTGGCCACAATGCGGAGGTGGCTGCGCAGAGCTTGGCTCTCTCTGCCTGGAGCTCAAGGAGGCTGGCGCGCGCGGACATGACGTGCTGCTCGCCTTCTTCGAGTTCCTTCTGGGGCTCGGCAATATTCTGGCGCTTTGCCTCCTGGGCGTTTTGCCAGCGTTGCACCTGGAGTTCAAGTTTAGTGATGCGCTGTCCAATCTCCTTGAGCTTGACACCATCAGGTTTGGCCTGGAAGATCGTGCCACGGAGCGACTCACGTTCAGCGTTATATCCTTGGAGAACCTGCTCGATCTCAGGCACAGTGGGACGGACTGCAACCAAGGACTTGCTGAGACCATCGAGCTCTGCTGCTCTCTCCTTCGAATCGGAGACCACTTCAACTGCCAGAATATCTGCGTCGACGTCATGCGCCAACCGCGTGGCCTTGGCTTGTTTGAGCTCCGAGGTGAGGCTGGCCATCCGCTTCTCCATTGCAATGGGCTGTTTAGCCCGGGCCCAAAGCTGCTGGTCTTTGGAACGACTTAGCGAGCTCGTCGATGGCTGCTTCGACGGAGGCCTGCACAATAACGCTGCACCTTTAGAGACCGAGCGTCGATGACAGGCCAACTTGTCAGGGTAGTTGACGAACGGCTTACCATCACGGCCTTTACAGAATCTGCAGCACCACTTCGTCCGTCTGCGTTAGCCCCACGGCCTCCTGCTCCACGCGTCGCCATCGTCTAGCAGCTCCTCTCACACGGAGTGTCCCGCACTCAGGAGCGAAGCGAGCGACGGCCACGCAGGCCAAGAACAACACTGAAAGTTGCTATCTTAATAACAGCGAGACGCTCGAGAAATGCTGGCTCAAACCGCGACCCCTCGCGCTCAAGCCGCCTTCTCGGACTCGCGGCCGTCGGGCATCGCATTGCCTTGAGCCACAATTGCTACGTGTGTGTGTGCGTGTGTGTGTGTGTGTGTGTGTGTGTGTGTGTGTGTGTGTGTGTGTGCGGGTGTGTGTGTGTGTGTGTGTGTGTGGGTGGGGGGGGGGGCGCCTTGTCGGTGGACCCTGCAGGGCTCGCCACCCCTGCCAGGGAGAAACAAATATCACCTCCTCCCTCCTCCTCCTCCTCCTCCTCCTCCTCCTCCTCCTCCTCCTCCGGCTCCTGCTCCTGTGCCGCCTCCTCCTTCTCCCCCTCCCCCACTCTAGCAGTTTCAAGGATGGAGTCAACCTGTGGCTCTCGCCTTGGCGCCGCGCACATGTGTCTGAAAAACTCACAACAGGCTCGAGGATGTAGGACTGTCCTTTTCCAACATGTGGCCCTCGCCTTAGCGCCGCGCAGATTCGTCATAAATGCTTGAAGCAGCTTCAAAGGTTCGTCTGGCTAAATCCAACGAGTGATGTTCTGGCGGGATTAAGGACTGTTCGGACTCAGCAGTATTATTTGTTAGCGTTGCCAGAGTTGCAGGAATGGCGTTCTCGCGCGGTTTTAGGAGTGTCAGGACGCAGCAGTCACGCTGATTCGCGCCGCTGAGGTCCCAGGAACGGTGTTCGGGCACGATTGGGGATTCTCGGACGGGTGTCTTCACATGGGGCACTTCCTGTAACGAAGGCGCACCCTTCTAGGGGCCCTTGGAGGGAGGGCTTATTACAACATCGTCGATGCGTCTTGGATTTACACTGGTCCTCCTCCTCCTCCTCCTCGTCCTCGTCCTCCCTCTCCTCGTCCTCGTCCTCGGCCTCCTCCTCCCTCTCTTCCCCTTCCCCATCCATCCTTCCCCCTCCTCCTCTTCCCCCTCCTGCTCCTCAACCTCCTCCTCCTCCTGCCATGTGGCGGATGAGAGATCACTCCAACCACTATGCCACAAGGCACTTCCACCTCCCCTGCTTCCCCCTCACTCCGCTCCTCGGTGCCGCGCACGCGCTCCCGGCGCTCTGCCAGCACCAGCGCGGTGAGCTCCCCGAGCCTGAGTTGGCCGCGCTCTCGCGAGGAGCGGCCAGCCGGGATCGCAGAGTTCCAGCGCCCGTGGCGATCGGCCCGCGCCGCACGGGGGATGCCCCGAGATCTTCGCGCTGAAGTTTCACAACGGACGATTTTGCCTTATTCAGGGCTCCGGGACCCTCGCGGATCGATCTGGCTCGGGAAATGCAGCACAAAGATGGGGTCCATGGCTCTGGTCGAGCTTTCCTGCGATATTGTATCTTTGCCGTGGCGTCGGATCTCAGGTTGGAGGAGATGAAGGAGGGGGAGGGGGACAGGGGGAGGGAGTGGGGAGGGCTGCAAGGGGCCCCGAGGGCTGCTCAAATGGGGGCTCAGCCTACACAGTCCGCAGGCGGCTGCGGGCTCACAGTCGCTCGCCCTGCTTGACCCCCTCGGAGGCCACGCGTGCCCGTTTCTCGAGGCACCGTAGACTGGCGGTGGAGAGGTCTGGGGGGGTGTTCCGAGCCCACAGCTGCACTGCCCTTCTCGAAGCAGTCTGCGGCCCCTGGGCTCGGGCTCGATATTGTGTTGCTTGCGTTCGACTTCGCGAATCCCTGAGATCCGACGTCGCAGACAAATTGCAGCATCGTGAGAAGTCGCGGCTGGAACCCCAGACTCTATCTTTCTGCGCTATTTTTTCGAGCTGGATCGATGTGCGAGGGTCCCGGGACCCCAAATTGGGCGAAAACGCCCAGCGTGAAAAAATTGCATTGCCAAGATCTGAAGGATAGGGGGGGGACGCCGAGTATCTGGGCTGGCAAGCTCTCCTGGCGAGAGCAGGGGCCCAGGCCAGACGAGCGGCCAGTGGACCCGAGCCGGATCGGGCCTAGGGGTGATTCTGCTTCAGGGGGTGCGCCTCGTCGGTGGGCCCAGCCAGGGCTCGCCACCCCTGCCTGGGAGCAACCAGTTCTCGTCGGATGAGCGCCCCCTCATGCGTTTCCCTCTTCACACTCTCTCTCGCTCTCTCTTTCCTTTCTCTCTCTCTCTCTCTCTGTCTCCTTCTCAGGGTAGTGAACCTCCTCCTCCTCCTCCTCCTCCTCCTTGTGCTCCTCCTCCTCCTCCTCCTCCTTCTCCTCCCCTCCTTGTCTTCCTCGCCTCCGCCTCCCCTTTCCTCCGCCTCCTCCTCTTCCTCCTCCTCCTTCTCCTCCTCCTGGTCGTCGTCCTCCTCCTTCTCCTCCGCCTCCCCTATCCTCTGCCTCCCCCATCCTCCGCCTCCTCCTCCTCCTCCTCCTCCTCCTCCTCCTCTTCCTCCTCCTCCTCCTCCTCCCCCTCCTCTTCCGCCCTCCTCCCTCCACTCCTTATCATTGAAACGAATTCCTCCATGTCGCACCCCTAGGGCGGTCGAAGGGGCGGGCTGGGCGCTTCGCCTGAGACTTCCTTGCCATTTATGACCTCGAAGCTTAACAGTTGATAACAGCTTCACAACTTGAAAATGGAGGGCGGGTGATTTTCAAGATGTGGCCGAGCGCCGCGCACACTCGTCTGAAACATTTGCAAGAGCTTCACGGATTGAGACCAGGTGGATTTTAAACTGTGGCTATCGCCTTAGCGCCGCGCGCACTCGTCTTAAGAACTTGCAAGAGCTTCACGAATTGAGGCCCGGTGGTCTTCACAATGTGGCTCTCGCCTCTTCGCACACTCGTTTTCAACATGTGCAAAGGCTTCATGGATAGAGGCGCGGTGGTTTTCAAACTCTGGCTCTCACCTCAGTGCCGCGCGCACTCGTCCTAAACACTTGCAAGAGCTTCACGGATTTTCCAAAACGTGGCTCTTGCCTTAGCGCCGCACTCACTCGTCTTAAACATTTGCGAGAATTCCACGAATTCCCATGGTTGGCGTGCCAGAAACGGTGTGGTGGAACGATTCAGGATTGTCAGGGCGCAGCAAGTATACTGGTTTCGTGGTGTTGAAGTCCCAGGAATGTTCTTCTGGCGCGACTCAGGACCTCTAAGACGCAACAATCAAGTTCATTCGTGGCGTTGACTTCCAGAACACTCTGTATTGGCACGCTTCAGAATCTTTAATCGATTGTCTCCCAACGGGGAACTTGCTTCGCCGGACATGAATTTTCGTAGCAGCCTATGAAGAGGGAGCTTGGGGGAGGGTTCAATCCAGCATCGCTGATGATTGGAATTGCACTGGTCCTCCTCCTCCTCCTCCTCCTCCTCCTCCTCCTCCTCCTCCTCCTCCTCCTCTGGCGGACCGCGGTCCCGAAAGTCCCTACACATGTGTACAGGCGCAACCGCTCAGTGCAGGGTACCGGCTCCTCCCTGCAGCGAGAGCGGAGGGGCACGCCTCCCCGAAGGAGCTCTCTTCGCCAGCCTTCTCCGTTCTGCCTGCCCCTTCGTGCTGGCGCGTGCTGCTGCGCCCACGGCGGTCGGCGTGAGAGAAGCGGGTCCTGAAGAGCATGCGCCCTGGAGTTCTTTCCCCGTTGTCGGGCTTCAGGGGCCCTCCCCAGGCCCAGGCCCCGGGGCCGCCATAGTCTCCTCATCCTGCTGGCGCGGGCCGCTGGGCCCATGGTGATCCGCGTGGGAGCAGCGTGGCCTGAAGAGCATGAGCCTTGGAGTTCTTTGAGCGTTCGGCTGTGGCGTGAAGTGCCCATGGCCAGAGGCCAGAGGTGCCCCCAGCTTTTCGTTTCATTTTGGAATCCCTGAGGCTGCCTGGGCCTCGTGGCGGATGCCGTGGAGGCCGTGGGGGTCTCCCACTCTGGGCCAGGGTCACTTCTAGCAAACCCCGATCCGTTGCCGAGCTCCAATGGCCCTCCCAGGGCCCGGGCCCCAGGGCCGCCACCAAAACTGCTCAGGAGGAGGAGGAGGAGGAGGAGGAGGCGGAGGAGCTGGTCCCAAGGAGCGCCCCGGGGGTGCGGGACACGTTAGCCCTCAGGGAGCTCCTGCCCTGCACGGCGAGTGGAGGACGGCGCAGTGCTCCGGGGGCGCACCAGGCGCGCCAGCGCAGCCTTTTCCACTGGTACGAGGCGCGCGGGTCACTGCAGCACTCGCGCCGTCACTCCGCACCGCCACTGCCCTGCCGCTCACGGCCTCGGAGGGCGTCTTCGGCGCACCGCGCGAGCACAGCGCCCCTGGCACGGGGGCCCTGCTGCGCTCTCCACCCTCCTCGCTTCTCCTGCCCCCTTGGGTGGGCGGGTGGGCGGGGGGGGAACGTTGGAGGCCTTCCAGATGGGGTCCGTGTGGATGGGGTCGGAGGATCGCGCTGCATCGCTGATGCATCGACGGTGCATTGGCTATGTGTCGGCGACGCCAACGTGGAGAAAATCGGGCTCTACATCGAGCCGCATCGCCAATGCATCGGCGATGCGGCGCCGTCCTTCGACCCCATCTACTCTGACCCCAGCTGGGCGACGCAAAGAAAGGGTTCTCACGCGAGACTACATAGCCACCTTACGTCGCGGCTTTCGTTCGGACGCCAACGCGGAACGCTGCATTGGAGACAAAGGCGCGCACGCGCGACCTTACGCGGGCAACTTATGCGCCCATGTCGGCGCAGTCAACCCCGTTTTTTCGCGTCGCTCCACCTGGGAGGCCCAGATCCATCCTCCTCGCGCCTCCTCCTCCCACAGGCCCGAGGGGGTGGGGGAGGAATGCGGCGGTGCACACGGCGGGCTCCCCTCGCGGTGAGGTGTCGAATCTCTCGGGCCCCGGACCTGGCGCCGCCCCCCGCCGCCTCGCGGACGGCATCGAGCCAGCGCGCCCGGGCATCGTCTGGGGCCTCCGCGGGGTCCAGCAGCGGGGCGTGTCGCGCGGCCTCGGCGCAGCCGCTGCTGCCCAGCACGGCCCGGACGACGCCCAGCTCTTCCGCCATGTGCAGCGCCGTCTGCAGCCGCGCCCACTGCGCGCGGTCCTGGGTTTGCTCGTGTTATTGATTTGTGTTTGGGTTGTTATGTTCCATTCCTACTCAGTATCTGGCATGTTTTCTTTAAATGGTTTGTTCATTTTGTTGTTTGGGGGGCGCGCGGTCCTGCGGGCGCGCCTCGCAGGCCTCCAGGTGCGCCTCGCACGAAGCGCGCAGGTGGCTCACTACCTCCAGGCGCCTGCTGCTGCTGATGTTTCGCGCCGTACCCTCGGCGTTCACCACCTCGCACAGCAAGGCCACCGCGTCCTCTGGCGGCAGCCACAGCGTCAGCGCCGCGAGCTGGTCGCAGGGGCGCTCGCTCCGGGGCAGCTCCCGTCTCGCGGCGTGCAGTGCCACGGCGGAGGGGCCGACGCCCTCCTATCAGAAGGAACACGCAGGGTATGTATGTATGTATGTATGCATGCATGCATGCATGTACGTCTGTGTGTGTATATGTTTACTTATATTTATACGAGATTGCTTTGGCGGTTCGCGCAATGCGCCTTGTTCTGGACCCTCCCCGGCAAAACAATAAATCATCGCTTGTTTCAGCAGGGGGGAACTCGAGACCTGGACAGGCGACCGGCTCATTTTTCTGAAATCCTTGGTGCCTGCTGACACCGCGTTCGCCCGATGCGCTTGCACGCTTGTGCGCAGGAGTGAGGATGGAATGAGGTTTGTTTCGCGCGCGAAAATCCTTTGAGGAAGTAAAAAGCGTTCCCATGACACGCCGAAAAAATCGCAGTAGCTCCGAACAAATCGATGTTCATCGCTTCCTGAATGCCTGGAGGGCTCCAGGCACTCAGGAAATCTTCGATCGTCGAGCTTCGAATCTAGATCCACTGCCTGTCTCCAGCGTGGAACCAAGCTCGTCGGGTCAGCTCGATGTACTTCGTAGGAGAATGCCGTCTGGGCGTTTTTGGTGTTCTTTTGTGCCGCCCTGGGGCCCTCTTGGGCCGTCCCCTCAAGAGGTCTCCTGAAGCCATCTAGGGGGCCCCCAAGAGGCCTCCAGTGGCCTTCTTGGGGGTCTCCCATGGTTTTCGTGGGTCTCTCTTGGGAGCCTTCTGGGGGCATATTGGGCTTCTTGGGGCAATCTCGGGGCTCTCTGGGGCAATCTTGGGGCCCACTTGGGCCGTCTTCAAGCCCTCAGGGGGGCCTCTTGGGCCGTCTTGGGGGGATATCGGGGGCCCATCGGGCCGTCTTGGACGCTGCGAAAATACAAAACGGATGCGCTAAACATATACACGTTCCTGAAAAATGGGACGGGTTTTGCTTCTTCGGGGCTCTCTTAACGGCCTTTTGGGGCGTCTTCGGGGCCTCTTGGGCCGTCTTCAGACGATCGAGGCTCCTCTTGGCGTGCTCTTGTTCTGTTTTGAGACTCAGTTGCGCCTCCCCGATGACCCCTCTGATCGTTTTGAGTCTGCTCGCAAGGCCCGGCAAGGCGCCCTAGGAGGCCCGGAAAAGGGCCAACGGACCTTTTCCAAGGGCGTCCAGGGGGCCGCCGAGGCCACCGAGACGTCCGACAATGGCGTCCGGGGCGCCCCTGGGGGGGGGGGGGGTCCAGTTTAGGGCGGGGTGGGGCGTGTGTAAGGGGGGGTTCTGGGTAGAGAAAAATGTACGTCTGTATATCTAGATATATGTTTTGTATATATATATATATATATATATATATATATATATATATATATGTGTGTGTGTGTGTGTGTGTGTGCGTCGCTTTACATATATATAAATATGTGTTCCCATATATATATATTATATATATATATATATATATATATATGTATGTGTATAACGTCTCTCTCGCACTCTATACATATTTTTGATATGCGGGGCGAGAGCAAACCTCTTCCGCTAAAAGCTAAGCGGGCTACGCACAGCTTTCGTTAGGGAGGCAGGGCGCAGGAAGGCGGGGCCTCAGACGGCCGGAGTGGGCGAGGCCCAGGGGTGCAGGCGGTGCCGACATGGATGTGCAGGAGCAGGTGCGCCGCGGACTGGTACCGGGGGCGAAATCCCAGAGGGTGGGGGAGAAGGTGTTGCCGTCGACGGCGCGTCACGAACACCAGCCTCGAGCGCTGCAGATGGGGGGCGTGCCACTTGACCAGGTCGACGCCCGGGAAGAAGAAGAGCACCGCGAAGGCGATGTGCAACGTTGCGCCGCCGGGCGATGCGGGAGAGGCCCGGGGTGGAAGTCCAAACCGCGACCAGGTAGCAGCTTGCTTGAAGAGCGGCCTCAGACGAGGGGGCCATTCATGACCGACAAGATGCCGGTGAACTGCAGGGGGGGAACCTGCCCTGCACCGCCGGCGCGTGAAGACGGGCAGCGGCCACGTACGATGCGCTGACATCCGCATTGCCGAGGGCCGGGCCTGAGCCGCGCAGCGCCATGGCGAGCGGGGCCGCCGAGGCGGCAAGGTGCAGCGCCCGGCACCTGGCCGAAGCCGCGCAGTGCCGGGCGCTGCCGCCGTGGGAGGGGGGGAAGCGAGCGGGGGTGGGAAGAAGCGAACAGGGAGGAGAAAGGCCGGCGGCCACCGCCAGCCGTCGACGTGCCAGCCCGCACCGCAGGTGCTCACGTGGGGAGCTGCGCTCCCAATGGGTACAGGTAGGACACACGGTCCGAGTGCACGTTAAAGACAGGTGTGTGTGTGTGTGGGGGGAGCAGGCAACGCGGTCGGGGAACAGGCGGCGGAGCAGTAAGCGGATGCAGTGAGTGGTCCGTGCGCGTCTCAAGTGTGCCGCTACTGCGCCCGACAGGCTGCGCGCGCCTGCAACACGCGCCTGCCGGGGGCGCATGTGGGCAGCCAGTCTCCAGCATCAGCCTTTCCAGCCAAGGCTGTGGGGGAACAGGTAGGGGAACAGGGTGTCGCGCGGTCCCAAGCCAGGTGATGAGGGAGGGGGAAGGGGGAACAGGTGGTGGGCGTGGCCAACGGTGGGTAGGACCAGGATCTTGCCGCAAGTTGTTGGGGGCGTAGGAGGGCGGTCGCGGCGTGCTGCGTCAGTCAGGGGAGGCCCGGTTGCAGGCTGGTCAGCGCCTGCGGCGCTTTCCGGTCCGGTTGTCGTTGTACCCGGAGCTGCGTGCCTGGTCCTCCCCGCGCCCTTCACCTTTGGCAACCTCTCTTTTCTTCTGGACGTCTGGTACAGGGCCTTCTCCCGGTCCCAGTCCACGTAGACGCCGGTGTTGCGAGACCACGTCTCCACGTGATGGTTGCTGCTGTCCATGTCTTCCAGAGATTTGTCGATTATCTATTGTTGCCAGCAGTTCTGGTCGAAAGCGACCTGGTCTTTGGATTTGCCGTTGCCCTGCTCCTTACACATATGCCTGCACCACGAGTGTCAGGCTGCGGTGAAGTGGTATCCTCCCTCGGCCCGCAGCCTCTTCAGGTGTGTGACTGCTGTCTCGTGTGGGCGGCGCTGCCAGCTGACGCGGAAGATTGTCCGCGGGCGGCCGGGGTCAGGGTAGCGGCGATCGTCCCTGTGGTGAGAGCTGCGTGGTTCTGGCTGGCGCCAGGGGGTTCGCCCTGTGCCCCTGCCACTGTCGCGGTCCTGATCTCAGTAGCGCTCCCTGGTTCTGTCCCAGTCGTGGGCGTCTTGCTTGCGCCACGGTGCCCCCGCTGCGCCCTTGTTGCGGTCGCGGTCGCGGTCGCGGTCGTGCTCTCCAGCACGGGTCCGGTCGCCGGTTTCTCTGGACGCCCGCCTCACCGCAGTCTCGTATGACTCCCAGGCAACTGGCTCCCGCGCCCTGCCGCGCAAGCGCTCCAGCTCATGCGCAGGGAGGGGGTTGCGTGCGGGGCGCCTGTCTTCCGGGCCTTTGGATCTGGGCCGCGTGTGCAGCGCCCGGTTATCGGCAGCGGCCGTCAAAAACACGGTCGGTTCCGTGGGTGCGCAGGCTGGCTGGGTCTGGTTGGTGCTGCTCGAGTCGCGCTCGGGACTGCTGCGTCGTTCGGGGTCTGAGGATGGGGAGACCACATGGACCGTGCTTAGGGCCTCCGCGAGCCTCTGCTTCCTCTCTTGTTCCTGGTCGTCGTTGGTCCAATCGGGGTCCTCCTCCTCAGGGAGCACAAGGGGTGCAGGTTCGTAGGTGGGATCTTGTGTGTCCGTACGCGGCGCGCAAGGTTCGGGCTTGGAGTCGGGCTGAGTCCCTTCTGGGGACGTCACTTTGTCGTCCCCGATGTCGCCGCCGAACCAGGAGCTGGCGGGGGCCGCTGGTGCCTGCGCCTCGTGTGCCTCGTCGTAAGTCCTGCCCAGGAAGGCGGCTGCCCAAGGCGCTGCGTCGCCGCGGAAGACGTTAACTCGTAGCGTCCTGGTACCGGCGCCCCAGACTTCCAGCCACTCGCTGCCGATCTGAACGATAAGGGTCCGCCCGTCCTGTTCGCGGGCCAAGACGTTGAGGACGGGTCCGAATACCGCTCCGTCCACGGGTTGCGTCGACAGGGGCTCGGTGCTGTCCGCTGAGCTGAACCACCTGGCGCGGGGGAGGGTGTCGCTCCTGATGACCACGTAGTCGCCGCCCTGGATGCACGGGCTGTCCGTTGCGAGCGGGCAAAAGGAGCCCTGGATGGGCGTGTCCGGGACTCGCCCTTGCTGCCGTTCGAGGCTGCTGGGTTCCGCGCTCTCGGGGGGGGGTTCAGGTGCCGCGCTGACGGCCGGTGGCGCCCCGACGGACCTGGTAGCTGTGGGTCGCGTGGCGGGAGGGGCCAGGGCCGGCTCGTCGCCACGCGGAGTGGGCGGGAGTGAGTCGCCACCGTGACTCACTTTCGCAGTCTGTACATGTATGTCTATCAACATAAAGAGGACCTTGACCACAATAACCCTTCCACAAGACAGCCAACCGTGGAACCCCAGGACGTCCATCGGTCTTTGGTGTGGGAACGTCACGGTTTCCATCGCACGACCATCGAACCCCAACAAACCCAGGGCACCCTGGAGGCAAGCAGGGTGCTTCTTGGCATGGGATTCCACTGTAGGCCGAGACCGCTGCACTCCCTGGCCAGGACTTCGAGGCGGATCCAGCCCTTGCGGTGGTGGCCCCCCGCGGGAGGCCCTCACCCTGGACCCCCGTCGCCCTGGCTTTTTCACAACGTCAAAGGTCTCGACCCCCGCCCCGGGACCGGTTTCTCATCCTGAGTGGCTTTCTGACGGTCCTGAGGCCCGGTGAAGGCCCCCGGAGGCTGAAAACAGTGAAAAACCTCCCGTCGTGATTTTTTCCTGACTCGAAGCGGTCTGGGACACGGGCGCTGGGCGATGGGTCGGCGCCGCAGCACCGGCATCGACCGAGGCGGATCCACCCCTGCACGGGAGGCCCCTGAGGAAGCGACGGGCGGGGGGGGAAGAATTCGCGCAGCAGCGTCCGCCACCTGCTTCTCTTTCCCTGGTCCTCGGCCAGAGGGCGCACTCCCGCCAGGGCAGCGAGGAGCTCTGGCAACACCTGAGGACGACGAGACATCAAAACGGCATACAGTCAGCGTGCTACCAAAAGGAACGCGTAATAAGGAACGACTGGGCTTTTCTGGTCATGGCGGGCCATGTAGACCAGCAACAAGTTCCGCGACAGAACGCTCAGGAACGGCACGAAAACCCGAGCCCCTCCTGAGCCCATGGCGGTCCTTATTTCAGCGTCTTGACTGGGCAGTGGTCACATACGACACGAATTCTTGCCATGCGAGGTAGGTGTTGGGGCACATTCTTCGTCTGTGAGTGTCCTGAGTTGGCTCGAAGCTTGTGTCGGTCCATGGGGCCATCGAGGATTAAGACCTTTCTATGGGGCACTTGCGTACAGGCAGATCTCTGATTCGATTAGACTACGATTCGATTAGACTACTGCGCGGGCGTACACATTCGCAGGTACTCGCGGATTTCTTGGGACGGGCGCTGAACTGCTGCCGCCGCAGATGATGCTGTTGCCGCTGCAGTTGCTGCGGCTGCAGCTTCCGCGGGGCTCGGGGACAATCGTGAACCGCCCTACTCGAAGATACTCGCCCTCTCTGTCGCCATGGGCCCCACCCTGCCTGGCGCGCGGAGCGTGCCCTGCGCGGACCCAGAGGCGCCGCCAGGAGGGTTCCAACGCCGACCCAAGAAATCCGCGCGGACCTCCAAACGTCTACGGCCGTCGTGCTATAGCTGCAACCAGGAGGAACGCAAAATGAGGAGCGGATGGGCTTTCATGACCACGGCGAGCCTCGGCCACGAAGAGGCTCCCAAACCTAGACCTAAGGAGCGGCCCGAAAACCAGAGCCCCTCCTGAGCCCAAGCTGGCTACATGTTTTCAGGGTCTTGGATGCGTGGGTGTTTATGTGGTGTTTGCTTGTGTGTTTGCTTGCTTGCTTGCTTGTTGCCTCTTCTTCTTCTTCTTCTTCTTAGTATTCTTCGTATTCTTCTGTCTATACGGCAAGTTCGTGTCGTGACGACCCCAGCATTGGTTTCTGACACCGCGTGGATCTTTCAGCCTTCAAAGATCGGCGGCTTTCAGATCGCTGCATCGCTCCATATTGGCTGATTCTGGGCCAATGGCGGCGTTCAACCTTGAACGCCCGCGGCGGGGTCGCGGCCGCGTCGGGACGACGCAAACCTACCGTACTTAGGCAACTTCTCCTTTTGTTTGTGCTCTTCTTCTTCTTCTTGTGCTTCTTCTTGGGGCACCTCTGGGTCGCCGTCGGCGCAGCGGAGGACTTCCTCCATCAGCGGCGCGCCCCTCCGTCGCGCCACGGCGTCGGGCTCCGTCTCGGGGCAGTCGTCGAGGCCGTAAGCTCGCGCTGGCTCCTCCGAGGGGGGTCGAGAGGCGCATGATCAGTCGGCGCCGAATGAGGAGTCGGATCGAGTCGGGATGTGTCGGAGCGGGCTGCCGCGCCACGATGCACAACAGCGCCATGGCACCATCGAGTAGCATCGTGTCGTCGGAGCATCGGAATCGAATCGGATCGGGCTGGGCTGGCCAGGATCGATATCAAATCGACCGAATCGAAATTTACTCTGGAGGGGGGAGCTGGCTCAGGGAGGGAGGCGATGACCTGGAATCGGCGATACCCACACATCCTCGCTTCTTGAGAAAAATCACGGCGGACAATTTCGATAATTTCGGCCTCGTGGGGCCTTCGCCAGGCCCTGGGACCGTCAAACAACTAGAGGGTTGTCGGCAGCGCCTATACCATGCGCGCGTCAGCCCTACAGGGCTGGCGCGCCCGCGGGACATTCGGGGGGCACGAAAGGGTAGGATAGCAAAGGGCAGGTTAGAGATCAGCTCATGTGGCTGGTTTTCCTGGCGCCTCCTGGCGCCGGGAGGCGCCCATGTATCGAGGAAAGGGTCAGGCGGCGGGGCGGAAACCAGCTGCGTGTCGCAAAATTCGTACTCCCCCCTTTCCCTATCCTACCCAGTCGAGCGGCCCTAGAGAGGAAAGAGCGGGCCTGAAGTAAGGAGGCTTCAGCTCCGGGGGGGACGTTAGGGGGGAACCAGCTCAGGGGTGGGGCATCGAGCTTGAAGCGGCGATGCTATACATCGCCGGTATGCTCCCGATCGCGAGACCGAACGTTCCTTGGGCGGGGTGGGCTATCGGGCCCCTATCGGCGATCCATGGGGAGTTGGGGGCTGACGTATCCCCCTTGAGCTCATCCCCCCTAACGTTGCCCCGATCGTCGTCTAGTTTTCCAATCATAACTCGGCTCTCCATCGGCCGTTCGGGACGATCCAGGCACCCCCAGACCGCCCGGAGAACCGACGAGAACCAAGCCACTGACGCTGCCCCTCATCCTAGAAAGAAAAATGATGGCACAAACAAAACTTTTAGCGCTCCGCGTGGATTTCTTGAATCGGCGCTGGGCCCCCCTGGCGGCGCCTCTGGCGCCGCCACTGGCGCGAACCGAATGCCAAAGAGGGGGGTCCAGCGCCGAACCGAGAAATCCGCGAGGAGCTCTGAAAATCTATGTTTATGCCGCTGTTCTTCCTCTGCCGGAGGTGTGGACCTCTTTCCGGGGACTGGCTCTTCGTCTTGAGCAGTGGTTTGACGGTCCCAGGGCCTGGTGAAAGCCCCACGAGGCCGAAATTATCGAAATTGTCCGCCGTGATTTTCTCAAGACGCGAGGATGTGTGGGTATCGCCGATTCCAGGTCATCGCCTCCCTCCCTGAGCCAGCTCCCTCCTCCAGAGTAACTTTCGATTCGGTCGATTCGATATCGATCCTGGCCAGCCCGATCCGATTCGATTCCGATGCTCCGACGGTCCGATGCTATTGGATGCTTCCATGGCGCTGTTGTGCATCGTGGTGCGGCAGCCCGATCCGACACTTTCCAAGTCCGCGGGTGCCGAGTGATCCAAGACACTCAGACGCTCGTCGTGCCGAGTGGTCCAAGACAATCATTTTCTTCTCAGATCGGACGGGCTTGCACGAGGATAAATCAGTTCCAGAGCGGTCTGGAACGCTCTGAGAAGGCTGCGACGCCCGATACATTCTTCAGAGCCGCCAGATCTCGGAGATTCCCGAATTCATTCTCACTCGAATTCATCCTCGTCCTGGCTTCGTTTGATCAGAGATCCTTGCACAGGTCCAGGCATAGGGGGGATGCATCGACCTGGAAGCGCCGATGCATCGCCGATAGATCGGCGATCGGCCCCCGATCGCGCATCCGCACCTTCGTGAGCGGGGTGGGGCTATCAGACCCTTCTCGGCGATCAGTGGGCGATCAGGGGACGACGCATCCCTCCCTGTGCCTATCCCCCCCCCCCCTATCGTTGCCCCTTATAGAGACAGCCATGTTCTTCTCAGAGATCCTCGCACAGGTCCAGCAGCCGGCGGCAGAGCGCGACGCACGCCGCCGACCCCCGCCCCTGGCCGCCCGTCGCCCGCAGCAGGCGCCCGGCCGACCGGCGCACGGCCTCGGCGGCCCGCGGCGACAGGCCCGCCGCGCCCGGCGACGCCTCTACCAGGGGCTCGGGGCGACGCACACAACAGAGCACACCAACCTGGAGGCCATCCGGGCCTCCCCTGGGGATCCCGGAAGCACCTTGGGCCAGGGGCACCTCGAGCAACACCCGGAGCACAACGCTGGGGAGAGTGATCCAGTGAACCGAAACGTCTGTGGCGGCGGCGGGGCACTGCGCGCAGAGGCGCCCACCCAGTGCTCGCTCGGCCCCCCCCCCCTCTGCTTGGGGGCGCGCAGGGGGCAGGGTGCGGCCAGGGGGGGGGGGCTGCTGGAACATCGCGAGGGACAGCCGCGGAGCGAACGAAACATCGGCTTTCTGCATGGGCTCGCTCCCGGGCCCCCCCCCCCCCGCCTCTGTCATGAGACATGGATGAGAACCCGAACCCCAAATTGCCAAATCCGCCAGGCCTTCCCGCTGTACCCACACGTCTTCGCGCGCGAGTACTTAGAACCCACGAGGCGGCGAAAACGTACCCAAAGGGTCCCGAGAAGCTTCCAAGACGGTCCGACACGGCGCCGAATCATGAAGGTCGCCCCAAGACGCCCAAGGTGGCTCCCAGAGAACCTGAAGGCCGCCCAACCGGCCCATGAAGCCCCGAAAACATGTCCCGAGGGCGCCAGAAAACGCCTAAATCTTAAACGTCACGAAATTATTTGGAAACTTTCGGCCTTCCCGCATTGCTTAATAGGGCCCCAAGTGCGCCCCAAAGCAGGCCAGGAAGCCTCCAAGAGGGCTCCGAAACGATCGAGAGAAACCCCAGACACCCAACAAGCGCTCAAGACGGGCTGAAGAACGCCGCAAGGCGGCCTCTAAAGGGAGCCAAACGAGCTGCCGGCTCTTCTGGGGTCGGCGGCAGAGGCGGCAGTCTTTCAATAACGAAGCGCATACCCGTGGACAGCGGGGACACCCAGACCCCCTCGGGTCATGGAACAAATCACGACGGGAGGTTTTTTGATGTGTTCGCTCGAGATCTCTGGGGCCCTTACCGGGCCTCGGGACCGTCAAAAAACGACTCAGGATGAAAAAACAATTCCAGGGAATGGGTCGAGAACTCTGGGGGTCGGCGTTGCGAAAAAATCGCGACGTCGGGGTTCTGTGCAGGGAGGGGTTTCCTCTGTGGGGGGGTGGGGCGGCCCTGGTCCCGGCCCTTGTCCTTGCCCTGGCCCCAACCCCGCCCGTGGCCATGGCCGTGGCCGTGGCCGTGGCCCAAGCCCCGGGGTCCCGGAAGGGGGCCCCAGGGTCCCGGGGGAGGTCCCGCCTTCAGGGTCGGCGGCACTGGCCGCAAGGCCTCCAGAAAGAAAACACACAAATTCCAGGAATCCCTGTTTCGTGTATACATATTTTCCTGATTTTCGCCTCCCCATCCGCTGCCAACATTTTCCTGGTCATTGACGTTTGTGTCTGTGTCTATCTTTCCCTCCTGAGCCTCGCTGGAGCTGTCGGAGGGCGTGGGCGCGAGGCCGACGTCGACCGCGTCCCAGCCATCTGGGGGAGCAACACATCGTCCCCGAGGGGGGCAGGTACCGGATGCCGCTGCTCGTCCTGGAGAGGCCTCGTCGCCACGGCTGGATGCTCCTGGAACACTGGCCAGGACGCGCACTGGGAGAGGTCCAGAGAGTAGCTGTATCGATCTCTCTCTTGTCTCTCCAGGAGTGGCACAAGCATGAACTTTCGGAGGGCCGACTGTGTTTCTTGGGTGGCGCTGGACCCCCCCCAGGGTCGGCGCCTCGGGGGTCCCGGCGCGGGACCAAGAAATCCGCGTGGACCTCCGACAATTCTATGCCTGTGCGGTTTTCGCTCCTCGACCATCGTCGCTGGTGCCAAGCACCAACACGCTCTCGGCCAGGCGGGTCGGGTCCATCTGCGCCGCCTCCCGGCTGGCAGAGCCTTCCCCGGGGCGACCGGGGCCCAGGTCCGCGGCAGCACCCTCCGCCCCTGTAGACTCAGGTGCTCGGCCGAGCCGCGCAGGCACTCCAGCAGGCTCTGGCGGCGCGAGGCTGCCGTCGGCGTCGAAGTCCTCGCGGCCGCTCTCCGGAGACGATCTGGGCGCGTGCTCGGGCATCCTGGCAGTGGCTGCCTCCCTCGCACCATGCTCTTCAACAGGCGGGGCCGCAGCGCTCGCGCCACCAGCCTGCGGACCGATCTCGACGTCGACATTACCCCGGCCCGTCTCAGCCCCCTGCCTCCAGTGATCCTCAAAGAAGGGGGCCGCTTGGGTGGCGCCAGCAGCACGGGCCTGCGGACTGATCTCGACGTCGACGTTGTCCGTGCCCGCCTCGCCCGATTGTGCAGTGCCCTCCTCATCAACCGGCGGGCCCGTAGCACCAGCACCACTGGGCAGGGACGTAATCTCGACGTCCAGGTCACCCCAAGACGCCTCGGCTGTCTGCCCCCTTCCATCCTCGACTGGCGGGGTCGAGACACTAGCGCAACCGACCTGGAGACCGGCCTCAACGTCGACACCATCGGAGTCCGCTTCGGCCTTCTGCCTCCTGCCCTCTTCCTCATCAGCCGGCGGGGCCTCAGCACCACTAGCGCCACTGGCTGCGACCGCCTCAATCCCTGGCTGCCTGTCATGACCAATCGGCGGGGCCACATCACCAACATCGCTGGCCTGTGGCTCGATCTCGACGTGCAATTCGTCCCAGCCTACCTCGGATGCCTGCTTCGTGTCTGCCTCGTCATCAATCGGCGGTGCCTGAGCAGCCGCGCCAGTATCTTGCAGATTGATGTCGACGTCGAAGTGCGGACTGACCTCGTCGCCGAAGTCGCTCCAGCCCGCCTCGCTCTCCTGCCTCGTACGCTCCCCCTCCACCGCTGGAGCCTGAGCACTGGCACCACCGCCCCGTGGACTGATCTCGGCGTCGAAGTCGCCCCCGCCCGCTCCGGCCCTCAGCTCCTGCTGCTCCTCGGCAGGTGCGGTGTGTGCAGCCCGCGCAGCCGCGGAGGCGCCTGTGGCCGTGCTCTGGGGGCTGGTCTCCGCATAGGCGTGGTGCCCACCTGCGTCCCCTGTCGCCCTGCCGGTCTCCACTTCTGAAGCCGCCCTCTGTGCCTCAGCACCACCTGCCTGGGCACTGATCTCGATTTCGAAATCGTCCCAGGCCGCGTCCGCCGCTTCCTGCCTCGGGTCATCGGCAGGTGAATGCTGCGTGGACTGAGTCTGAGTCTGGGGCTCCTCCTGCACGCTGACGTCGTCGTCAAAATCGCCCCAACAATCGTTGTTGGCAGCCTCCAGCGTAGGCACCTCTGCCGGCACGGCCCGCTTTGCAAGTTCGCCTCCCTCAGCGCCAGGCTCTGCCGGCACGGCCAGCCCCCCGTCGAGCTCGTCGAGACCGTCGAGGTCGAAGTCGCCATCCCAGGTCGCCTGCAAAGGGCTCCTTTCAGACGCTGGCTGTGCCACGACATCTGCGATGACAGAAGCGGGGGCAACCGCCCTACTCTCTGCCTCTCGCGAGCCCGCAAGGGGAGTCTGCTCTCCGAGGTCGTCCAAATCGAAATCGTCCCCCCACCCAGCGCCACTCGCCAACTCTGCCTCCGCTGCGGTGGCCGTGACCGAGGGCGGCGGCACCACCTCGGCCGCCTGTCTCAGAAGCTTTTGGAACACCCGAGACTCCATCACTATCTTTATCATTAAATTTGTACTCAACCCATCGGCCCCGCAGACACTCTGGGTTTGGAAGCAACAAACTGAAACAACCGCCCGCTGCGGGAGCCTGAACGCAACCACTTTTCTGTGCGCCCTGGATCCGGCGCACCCGTTGGGCCCCTGGCTGGGCGAGGCTTCGCGACAACAATGCCAACGGCTGTTCCACGCTAAATCGTTTCTATGCACAAACATACATGGCATTTGCGACTGATCGGAGGCCGTCGTTCTTCGGAGGGTGGGGGGTGAGATCGAAGTGGAACGGAGAGCCCCCCACCGGGAAATCGGTTTCGGTTTCGTGTCCGTGCGTGCCGTGCGTGCGGGCGAGGCGAAGCTGCGTGGGCGGGCGAGAGGAAAGTCTCCTGTGGCTGACGCGCGGCCAGACCAAATGATTCTCCCTCCAGCAAGCGGTGGCGCGCGGTGTCCCGCCGGTGTCCCGCTTGTGGCTGGGCCCGGGCCAGACCAAATGATTCTCCCTCCGGCAAGTGGTGGCGCGCGGTGTCCCGCCGGTGTCCTGGTGCCCCGCTGGTGCGAAAACGATAGTGAGACCGATGACGAAATCGATTGTGAGATCGATAGTGAGATCGATAGTGAGACCGACAGTGAGATCGATCGTTAGATCGATAGTGAGATCGATAGTGCGATGAATAGTGATATCGATTGTGAGATCGAGTGATATCGATAGGGAGATCGTTAGTGGGATCGATAGCGAGATCCAGAGTGAGATCGACAGTGAAATCGATCGAGTGAGATCGATAGTGAGATCGATGGAGTGAGATCGATAGTGGGATCGAAGACACTCAAGAGCGAAGGATGATGTAAACAACTCGTCACCAAGGCTCCCAAGAGCGAGCGGCAACGCAACAATCACCACTGTTGCCCACTGCTGGCCCCCCTCCTCCCCCAACCGCCTTATCACCCGCAGGGTGGTCGTATAGGTATGTTTAGGTTATCGCGTATTCACTTTAAAAGGCACTCGCACACAGATAAGCATACACGAGCATCTGTACGTCAACACTGCGGGTCATATGCTGGATGGGTGAATCAATTCGTCGGCCGAACGGGCCAAGGGCGTGCTAAGATCTCCGGCAACTGGTTAACATTATTTCTAGTTCGCGCGCATAGTGGCACCGCCCGCGTGCGTCATCCACCACCCAGCACAGCCCTTGCTCCTTGCGTTTCACCCACCCAGTACAGCGTTTCGTGGCCCCATAAGGGGGCACCGCCCGCATGCGTCAGCCACCACCCAGCACAGCCCTTTCTCCCTGCGTTTGCCCCACCCAGTACAGCGCTTCGTGGCCCCATAGGGAGCTCCACCGAAGGTCCCAGTGGCACCGCCCGCGCGCGTCAGCCACCACCCAGCACAACCCTTGCTCCCTGCGTTTCACCCACCCAGTGCAGCGTTTCGTGGCCCCAGAGGGGGCTCCACCGAAGGTCCCAGTGGCACCGCCCGCATGCGTCAGCCACCACCCAGCACAGCCCTTGCTCCCTTCGTTTCGCCCACCCAATACAGCGCTTCGTCGCCCCTATAATAAGGGGGCTCCACCGAAAACCCCAATGGCACCGCCCGCAAGCGTCAGCCACCGCCCAGCATAGCCCTTGCTCCATGCATATCTCCCACCCAGTACACCGCTTTTTGGCCCCATAAGGAGCTCCACCGAAAGTCCCAATGGCACCGCCCGCATGCGTCAGCCACCACCCAACACAGTCCTTGCTCCCTGCGTTTCACCAACCCAGTACAGCGTTTCGTGGCCCAATAGGGAGCCCCACCGAAGGTCCCACAGGGACCGCCCGCATGCGTCAGCCACCATCCAGCACAGCCCTTGCTCCCTGCGTTTCACTCATCCAGTACAACGTTTCGTGGCCCCATCAGAAGCTCCACCGAAGGTCCCAGTGGCACCGCCCGCATGCGTCAGCCACCACCCAGCACAGCCCTTGGTCCCTGCGTTTCGCCCACCCAGTACAGCGTTTCGTGGCCCCATAGGGAGCCCCACCGAAGGTCCCACAGGGACCGCCCGCATGCGTCAGCCACCACCCAGCACAGCCCTTGCTCCCTGCGTTTCGCCCACCCAGTACAACGTTTCGTGGCCCCATAGGGTGCTCCACCGAAGAATCCAGTGGCACCTCCCGCATGCGTCAGCCACCACCCAGCACAGCCCTTGCTCCCTGCGTTTCACCCCCCCAGTACAGCGCTTCGTGGCCCCGTGAAAAGCTCCACTGCAAGCCCCAATGGCACCGCCCGCATGCGTCAGCCACCACCCAGCACAGCCCTTGGTCTCTGCGTTTCGCCCACCCAGTACAACGTTTCGTGGCCCCATACAAATATCCACCGAAGGTCCCAATGGCACAGCCCGCATGCGTCAGCCACCACCCAGCACAGCCCCTTCTCCTTACGTTTCGCTCACCCAGTACAACGTTTCGCGGCCCCATAGGGAGCCCCATCGAAGGTCCCACTGGGACCGCCCGCCTGCGTCAGCCACCACCCAGCACAGCCTTTGCTCCCCGCGTTTCACCCACCCAGTACAGCGCTTCGTGGCCCCGTAAAAAGCTCCACCGAAGGCCCCAGTGGCACCGCCCGCATGCGTCAGCCACCGCCCAGCACAGCCCTTTCTCCTTGCGTTTCACTCACCCGGTACATCGTTCTGTGGCCCCATAAGGAGCTCCACCGCCTGCGTTTCGCTCACCCAGTACAGCGCTTCGTGGCCCCATCAGAAGCTCCACCGAAGGTCCCAGTGGCACCGCCCGCATGCGTCACCCACCGCAGCCCTTGCTCCCCGCGTTTCACCCACTCAATTCAGCGCTGAGTGGCCCCACAAGGAACTCCACCGAAGGTCCCAGTGGGACCGCCCGCATGCGTCAACCACCACCCAGCACAGCCCTTGCTCCCTGTGTTTCACCCACCCAGTACAGCGCTTCGTGGCCCCATACGGAGCTCCACCGAAGGTCCCAGTGAGGCCGCCTACATCGTTAACCGCCACCCAACACAGCCCTTTTCCTCTGCGTTTCACCCACCCAATACACAGTTTCGTGGCCCCATCGGGAGGTCCACTGAGGGTCCTACCGGCGTCACCCGCATGCGTTAGCCACCACTCAGCGCAGCGTTTCGTGGCCCCATAAAAGGGGGCTCCACCGAAGGTCCCACTGGGACCGCCCGCATGCGTCAGCTACGAGTACCGCGTTTCGTGGCCCCATAGGGAACTCCACCGATGGTCCAAGTGGGACCGCCTGCATGCGTCAGCCACCACCCAGCACAGCGCTTCGTGGCCCCATAGGGAGCTCCACCGATGGTCCCAATGGGACCGCCCGAATGCGTCAGCCACCATTCAGTACATCGTTTCGTGGCCCCATAGGGAGCTCCACAAAAAGACCTCATTTGCACAGCCCGCGTGCGTAGTCTTCATTTCGTGGCCCCATTGATTGGGAGCTCCACCAAGCCCCAGTGGCACCGCCCGCATGCGCCCCCCCCCACCCGGTAAAGCGTTTCGTGGCCCCGTAGGGAGCTCCAGTGGTCCGCCCACAAGCGACCCCCCACCCAGTACAGCGTTTCGTGGGCCCATATAGGGAGCTCTACCGAAGGCCCCAGTGGCACTGCCCGCATGCGTCCCCTCCTCCCACTATAGTTTCGTGGCCCCATAAAGGGGGCCCCACCGAAGCCCCCACTGGCACGCATGCGTCGGCCACACCCAAGTACAGCGCTTCATGGCCTCATCGGGAGTTCCAGCGAAGGGCACCGCCCGCCTGCGTCCGCCACGCCCAGTACAGCGTCTCGTGGCCCATATGGAACCCCACCGAATGCCCCAGTGGCACCGCCCGCATGCGCCTTCACACCCATTACGGCACGTCCCTCACGCGTTTCGTGGCCCTATAGGAAGCTCCACCGCAAGCGGCACGCACAACGCGTTACTCACAACTGCACATGGTTGGGTCCTTCGCCAGGATCGTTGTCCTTTAAATTCTGACGTTTTTTGGCGTTCTCGTCTTTTCGGCTTACCGGCGCTCTAAGACGGCCCAAGAGGCTTCCAAGACCGCCCCAAAACGGCCCACGAAGCGTCAAGAGGGCCCCAAGACGGCCCAAGATGGCACCAAGACAGCGCAAGAGGCGCCCAAGACAGCCAAGAGAGCCCCAAAACGGCCCCAAGAGGAGCCCAAAAAGGAGACCAGGAACCGAAACGTCCAGCCTTCAGCCCCATGAGGTCCCCAGGAGGCCCCAAGAGGCCCCCAAGAGGCCCCAAATGGGCCTCCACGAGGCACCTGAAGAAGCCCCAAGACGCCCCCAAGAGGCCCCCAAGAGGCTTCAAAACTGCCTCCCCCAAACCCCTGAGAGGCCAACCGCGAGAGCCCAACCAACATCCGTGAGGCCTCACCCGCCACCCACCGCCTCCGAAGAATGGCAGCCGCCCAACCGCACCGCATTGACAATAACTCCCCGACAAACGACAGCGGCGAGGCAATATGGGCTGGCGGAATGAGCGAAGCGATTAAATAAACACAAAAGTGTGTGTGCGTATGTGTGTGTGTGTGAATGCAGATCCCGACGCGCACGTGTAAACGCATACGACTAAAACACACAACATACTGAGAACACGTAGAGGGACACACAGTGTCCGATGGAAGCGGGGAACGATGCTGCCTTACCATGTTGACTCATGGTTGCGATTTGGTCCATGCGTGCATTGCAGTCAGTGGGCACGGATTGCGAAGTGTGTGCAGCCATGGCCGATGGCATAGCACATGTGACACGATACGGTGAGGGCCTTGACTAAGGACCACTGGATACGAAATCCAGCGTCTGAAAGCACGGAGGAGCACCATATGAAGCTTGGTCGTGGATATCACCGCCGCCCTCATCAAATAAGGAGCCCTCCAGGGTCTGAAACATCTTGGGCACATTCTTTGACGAACGCTCCCACTGTGTGCGTCTCTACAGCCGCTAGCGC